AAGAATACGGTTCAAATAAATCTACAATGAATAGTGGTATATGCATTAAGGGCTCTAGTCACAGTGCAGATGAGATCGATTATTATGGTATATTGACAGAAATTCTGCAGCTAGAGTATCATGCATTACCATTTAAGCAAACTGTATTATTTAAATGTTCTTGGTTTGATCCAACACCAAAACATGGTACAAGAGTACATCCACAATATAATCTTGTTGATGTTAACAGAAGAAGAACTTTTAATAAATATGAGCCATTTATTATGGCTGTGCAAGCTTCTCAGGTGTATTTTGAAACCTATCTTTCAGTAAAGAGGACACATAATGATTGGTTAGCTGTTTGTTAGATAAAGGCACGTTCAATTGTAGATGTTCCAAACATAGTAGAAAAACCTCATACACTGAATGATCTAGCTTTTCAAGAGGATAACAGTCAAATGCATGAAATTGATATTTGTGAAGATGAAACACCTCATATATTGAATGATCCAGATGGTGTTTTTATTGACATGGAAGAGGAGGGGGAGGGAGAGAGGGAAGAGGAAGAGAGGGAGATGGAAGAAAATGATGAGGATAATGACAATGATGATGATGATGAGGAGGAGGATGATGTTGATGATGGGGAAGAGGAGGATGAGGATGAGGATGAGGATGAGGATGATGATGATGATGAGGATGATAACGAGGAAGGGAAAGAAAAATATGAACATCAAAACAAAAAGAGAAGAAAGTGTAGAGATTAATGTCACTTGAAGTTTTTAAATTTAGTTTTTCTATTAATCTAAAGTTGAATGTACTGTTTTATGCTACAAGTGATTTTCATTTTCTTAGTTTTGTTATTATATCTTGTGATTTGTGTTGGGCATCTTATATTATATATCTACAAAATGAACTAATATAATTTGAATGCTAGTTGATTTTTTTATCAAGAACTTTGTTGCTGCAATTGTACAAGGTCTAGGTAATTAAAATTTAAGAATATGAGTGATATGCCATCATCAAATGCTGGTTCTCCTACTGGTCCTTGTACTCCAACCACTCCTAGTACTCCAGATGTCTCTATTGGGTCTCCTAGTTGCTCATCAACATCTGCTCGGTTGGTCATCTCAGTTGTAGCGGAAAAGTAAGAAAAGATATTTTTGTATACTTGATCTAATTTTTTCTAATATAAGTATTATGAAATGTGTTATTTATTTTTAATTTTATTTCAGATTCGTTCCTAATGGTCATTCTATCTCGAAGACCATCACAGAAACTTTCAAGGAACAACAAGATGCCACTGGCTACTCATGGAAGGATGTCAGTCAATCAACTCGTAAATTTTATTGGCATGAATTTTTGGTAACTATTGTTTTATATTTAAAATTTATAAGTAATTTATTTAATAGATGTCTCTATGTGTTTATTTCACCAAGTAATTTTTTTCCAGAAATCATATTAGTGGAATCCTACTGAAAATTCTATAATGGAACGTACATGGAATAAGGTGGCATCCACTTTATACTCCAAGAAAATGTATATTTGGCGAAAAGATACAGTCAAACCAAATTTTGTTTTGGAGGATATTTGGAGAAGCTGGAAGACGCATTGGGCCTCAGATGAATGGATGGATAAATCTCGTATCGCCACTCGAAATCGATGTAGTGAGATTGGTGGACTAGGCACTGGTCCAAGCAAGCATACCGGTGGTTCTAGATCAACAGTGGAGCATACTATAAAATTGGTACCAAATTTAACACTTTCTATAATATTTTTCTAATCTTATCTCTTATTCGAATAGTAAACTTTGTTTTTAGGCAATAGAACTACGTCGTCCACCAAATTCGTGGGATATATTTAAGAAGTTGCATAAAAGAAAGGATGGAAGCTTTGTTGATGCCAAGTCTAAATGCATTAATGTAAGTTGTGTGTGTTGCTCTTCTTTAACCAAACATTATAGGACTGATCCTTATTTTATGAAGCTTTTAAAAAAGAAAAAGGTAGATTTTATGTAGTTATGTGTGTTGCTATTAAGAAGATTTGCTATAATTGTTTGTGTTGCAATTGAGCAAATTTTTGGGGCAGCACTTTGTGCTGTTTTGTTGGGCAATTTTTTAATGCAATTTTGAAGCAGATTTTGTGCTATTGTGGATAGATTTTGTGCCTTATTTGTGGCAGATTTTGTGCCTTTTTTTATAGCAGATTTTGTGGCAGCTCTTTGTGCTATTTTTGGTGCAAATTTGAGCCGATTTTTATCATACTTTTGATCATATGTTTTGCAGTTATTTGAGCAGTTTCTTAATGCAATTTTGAAGTTAGATTTTGTGCCTTTTTTGATAGATTTTGTGCTGTTTTGGGGTAGATTTTGTGCTGTTTTTTGTGCAGATTTTTATCATACTTTTTTTTATCAAATGTTGAGTAGTTATTTGGACAGTTATTAATGCAATTTGAAGCAAATTGTGTGCCTTTTTTTTTATATAGATTTTATGCCATATTGGAGGCAAATTTTGTTCTGTTTAAAGAGTTTGTGCCATCTTTTGGGTACATTTTTTTTACAGAGTTGCTAGAAGCAACTTAATATGCACATATTTATGGAAAGCTTGAGTTTTTGGTGGTTGATTGTTTGAAAATTTTCAGGATAAAATGGAGGTTGTCTTAGCTGCTGCTCTTTCTAGCTCCTCAGATGATTCACAAGAAGTTCAAGAACTTGATATAAATAGCTTATACTTTGATGTTGTGGGTGGAGAAAAACACGACGTGTGTATGGTTTAGGCTCTCAAGGTTTGGCGTTGTATCAAGATCAAAATTCTATCACTTCGCGCAATTTACATGCGGTGTCTAATGATGTTGCTGAAGAGCGCATTAAACTACTTGAGGAAGAAGTGTTGCATATGAGAGAAAATCAAGAGAGAATTCTTCAAGAACGTTTAGAGGCAGAGGTGCAACAACGAGTAGAGCACGCGGTCTCGCGTTTGAGGCAACAAAGTGATGATTGATTCAAGTCTATGGAGGAACGATGGTCTCGCATGCTGAGCGAGATGGCGTTATCCTCACGCTCATCTAGTAATCCTTCTCCTTAATAGGAAATGACCAAATGTTTATGTGTTTAAATATTTGTACACTTTTGCTTATTGAAGTTGTGCTTTGACATGTTTTAACTTCATAATTTTGTATTATAAATCTAATATTATGTTTGTTATATCATGGTGGTTAATTATTTTTATATTTTTGACTAATTTACTATATATATATATAATAATAATAATAATTGTCCACTACTATATATAGCAATTATTATTTATTAAATTAAAATCAAATTTGTGACGGATTTAATCTGTCACAATTAATTCTAAATTTGATACTAATATCTACAACAGAGCAATTTTGTGACAAAATATTCCATCACAATTTACTTGTAACGAAATATTCCGTCACAAATATTGTGAATATATTTAGAAATTTGTGACAGAAATTATTCCGTCACTATTTTGTTACGAAATATTCCGTCCAAAATTCTGTCTCAAATTTGTGATGGAATTTAAGTCAAATACAAGGATTTATATTGTCACCGTCAGGTCTGTCACTGTGCCATCACAATAAGTTTATGACCCCAGGTTCTGGGACGTCCATTTTTCCGTCACAAATCCGTCACAAAAAAAGACCCAAAACCCAACAATTCTCCCCCTACCGACTGTGTGGAGGAGACCTCCATTCCGGCGATCATGCAACATTTTTAAAAGTTCCCTCTTGGAAAAACTTTAGTCATCATGTCGGAACCATTATCATTGGTATAGATCTTTTCAAGTTCAAGCAACTTAGAATCCAATGCATCTCGAATTCAATGATATCTCACATCAATGTGTTTAGACCGACCATGAAATGTAGAATTCTTGCCAAGATGAATAACATGTTGACTGTCGCAATAAAGCACATACTTCTCTTGAGCACAACCAAGTTCTCCTAAAAATCTCTTCATCCATATCAACTCTTTGCAAGCTTCAACATGAGCAATAAGCTCAACCTCTGTAGTAGATAAAGCAACACATTTTTACAACCTAGATTGCCAAAACACAACTCACATGCAAAAGTAATCAAGTAGCCTGAAGTAAACTTACGGAATGTTATTATATGATGTCTTTGATATGTTGTTATAACTATATATATATGATGTTATTTTGATATGTTGTTATAACTCCTCGCGGAATCATCAAGGTATATACACCAAAAAGATTCTATCATATTTGGTATGGACTTGAGTCTATTATGAAAACGATATTCCTTCACCAATGATTATTTCGCAACCGACAAAATCTATAGACATGTAAGGATCAAAACAACCTCAAGGACGAAGACTAGGACAAGTATAAGAAAAATAATAAGAGTGGAATGAGAGATCAACCCAAACCTCACAACTAAAACTAACCAAATGAGAATATATACAAGCCCCAATGACTCCGATCTATAGACAAATGAGTCTAAGAAAGTTCTCGTGGTCATGTATTGAGAGAGAGCCTCATCTTTGTATGTCGTACCTTACCTAAACTAATCAAGGGGGGTTTCAAAAATATTGGAGGTCTCTTGAAAGACAATCCATGGGGATCAAGTCGAGATCATCCACTTAAGAATCAAAGGTAATGCTTTAGTAGAAGATAGTGGTGGGAGAAAACTGTTAGGGTTTTGCCCTGATTTTCTTACCATAATTTAAGATTTATTTTTCCTTAAAGAAAAAATAAAACATTACCATAAATATTTTTACTTTTCTTGAAAGGAAAATATAATATTATTTTATATTTGGTTTATTTCTCTTCCTTTTAGGTACTCCTTTTCTAGTAGGAAAGGTTTTAGGACTCTATAAATATAGGTTTGTTTCTTCTAACACAATAACAAAAAATCCACAATGTAATCGTTTAAGAGTCTTGTTTATGGGGAGATTTATTCTCTCTAAAGTTTCAATGTTTTTCTTTATATTAGTTTTGATATAATAATATTTTGATTTTTAGTATAAGTTTTTCTTATCTGATTTATCAACCATATGATTTGCAAATTGTAAGCTTCCGCATGACGCCGTAATCACCCCTTCATAACCCAACAAAAACTAGTTCCTACACGACAAAAACCAAAAACCTTCAAGACCCCTCGATCGGAGTAATCGAATGTCACTTGGACAGAGTACAACTACAGTACTAGGTACCCTATCTAAACACATTTACTTGCAAACAACAATGTTGGCTCACGCAAATGCGCATTGCCAAAATCGAAGGCTAACTAGCACCAACTCCGTGTCACACGAACGATGTGTCAAAATTCTTTTTATCAACATATCTTTGTTCTCGTCATCTTTGATTAGTTTGGTGTTTACTTTTATGAACCAATAAAATACCTGTTGGCCCTCCAAAACCTTGTTACTCAGTGATGCAAGCCGAGTTTCATCATAATCTTACACTAGAAGGCGAGCTAAGAAATTTGTAAACTTTACATTGAGTCTCTACGTTGGAGGCTTAGAGGGTGTTTAGAATGATGGCATGAGGCTTGAGAATATGCTAAAATGGAGGAAATATTACAAAAATATACTATTTAAGACCTTCATTTACATAAAATTATTCTAGCTTTTTTATTTACAACATTAACATTTTAATTACAAATATGATAATTTATAATAAATTAATAGTTACACGATTTATAACCTATTTTATTGGTTAGTGGGCTGATTTTATGGGATTCATATTTTACCTTTTTATTTTATTTACTTTTTTGAATCACAATCACAATTATATTTGGATACGTTCCTTTAATAGATATCTCACTTTCTCTCTTGTTATTCTTTTCACAAAGCAGGCGATGTTACAAAATTTGTCTTTCAGAATTTTCATGAAGATCATCCTCTCTTCGGTTTTTTCTCTTCAAAATGGATCATCCTCGGCCTTGATCATATGTTCACATTGCCTATTTTCCTTGAGACATTGGCTTTGTTAGGTGCACTGTTGATGTCTTGCACATACACAACACAAATTCCACTTGCGAAGGTAGCAAGAAGGTTTGTTTTTTATTTCCAGTTCGAGATCAAATTATAAGTTGAAAGCATTTACTTTATCTCCCGTGGGTGAATATGAAAGAGAAATCTTGTTATCGATCTGTTGATTCGAAGAAGTATTCATATGATAGTGATTTTATGTGGAAGTTCATCTTGGAACAACTCAAACAATCAATTTATCTTATTTTGAAAAAAAAAATTGTCATACAGTTGAATAAAATTTAATTGTTTTGATGATTTTTTTTATCTTTGTACTTCATTGTGCCTAATTTTTAGTCCATCTTGAAATTCTGAAAATTTATATTTCTCAAAATGTGGTGATGTTTATTTTAATGTTGGAACTGAAAGGTAAGATTTGATAAAGATATTGGTGTTCATTGTGGTATAAAATTACTAGTTGAATAAAGAAATATTTATAAATTATTAACAAACATACATTAGATGATATAAATTGTAGTATAAAGTTGGTGTTCAGGCTATTAATTAGCAAGAGTATTACATCATATTTTAATCCAACAACATACCTCAATATATACCATTTTATATACAAATATGTTAAAATTTTCACAAATCCTTTTTACATCTAGGTGTTCATAGGTATAAAGTTGAATGAATGTCAAATGAAATATGCATATAATTTTTTAAGAGGTCTTCAATAATTTAAACCTATAATATCTAACCTATATCATAATTTAGTGTATACTCTTTGATGGCTAATTTGGTAAGCAATATACTTTGGTGGTTGATCTGGTATAATAATTGGTGATTTGTTTAAATTTGATGTATGATATGACTAAATTTTTAGTGATATGTTGGTTTAGAACTATAAAAGTTATTGATTTATAATTGTTGGTAAAATTGATTTTAGTTATATGGTATAACCATATAATACGTAACACCATAACCTAATCAAATATATACCAACTTTTTAGTATCATCAAGTTAATTTACATGGTGTACAGTGTGGTGTGTAATCTTTGTGTCAAGTTCAAATTTTAGTAATTATAACAATTAAAGATAATTGGTGGATTTGTTGGTTAAAAAATAATGGTGATTGTTGATTTAAAGTTGCAATATGTTATAGTGTATATATTTTGATGTATGATATGACTAAATTTTTAGTGATATGTTGGTTTAGAACTATAAAAGATATTGATTTATAATTGTTGTTAAACTTGATTTTAGTTATATATTATAACCATATAATACGTAACACCATAATCTAATCAAGTATATACCAATTTTTTAGTATCATCAAATTAATTTAATTCAATTTTACCATAATGAATGAATTATACCAAATTATAACCAAATAAATTAAAAAAATTAATTCATACATTAACGATAAAGTTAATTTTTGGTTATATGTTCCAATCTACAATGGCGTAAAAAGTAATTTAAACAAAAAAAAAATGAAGAGAGAAAAATAAAAAAGAACAAAGAAAGTTTTTGGAAAATAATGGGGTAAAATGGTTGGAAAAAAAAGGAATGGAGAGAAGAGACTACGAGAGAAAAGAAAAAGTGGAAAGAGAAAAATAATACTAATCTGTTTATTTAATATTTTAGGAGAAGATTAGGGGAGATATTTTAGGAAGAAGATTAAAAAGAGAGATTTTCTAGGACTAAAGAAATGTGTGTATTTAAAATCTCTTTATTATATTTATCTTTAGTTTTTTTTTTGTTCTATTTTGTTAAAATTTTATTGTTATGTTGTTGAAAAGTCAAACTACTGTTATATTGGAGTAATTTGGGTGCTTAAATTGTATAATTTAGTTTTTTTTCCCATGAGATTTGTGTAATTCTTACATTAATTTATCTAACACTCTATTATTATATAAAAATGTATCAATGATAATGAAATATTTAAAATAATATATCTAGTAATGACATATAGTAAAGATATAACACCTTTAATAATTATGAAACTTCTTTAAATAGCTATATAATTTAAGCATTTTCTTGTATTACTTGACAAAACTTTGGCTTTCACAATTCATAAGCTTTTTATTTTGTCTTATTTTTTATGTTTTGAGAATATTTTTCTTCTTAAATTGAATGAATTAATGATTTTTGAATCCCCACAACGTTGACCTTATTTTAAAAAATAGAGATGTCTATGGGTAATAATACACTTTATATCAAACTATGA